CCTCCACATGTTTGCCCGCGGATTGAACCGCACCGGCTTGCCCAAGCCGCCGGTCTTTTCCTGGTCTTCCCGCATGATAGCTTCGACTTCCTTCTGGATATCGGCAAAGGTATCGAATGGGATATAGGAAATATTATTCTCCAGACAGTATTCTTCGAGACGGAGACCGCGGCGGGCGAAGAGAACGTCTGCTTCCCGGGCAGCGGGTAGATCGGATACACCGTCTCCAATGAAGATGATGAGGGGAATTTCGTCCTCATCGCACGAGGCTTTGGCCTGCAGCCGCGCTTCCTGTACGCTCAGAGCTTTGTCGTGGCCGAGTTCCGTGTCGTGACGCCAGATAGGCTTCCACTCCGAGCCGTCGGCGCTAATCTGAGCATCGTTGGCGACAATCTGAATGTGTGAAGCCTGGGTTGGCGGGAAAACGAATAATGTTAGTGGGAGGTTTTCCATTTGGAGGGACAGTCTCGTCTGCTACCTACATCCTCTTCGCCTAGAAATGTGTCAAGCACCCTTCGCAGGACCGGCTTCAACCCGGCACTGATGACGTTGAACGGAATGTTGTTCGCCAGGCAGAACTTGTGGAATGCCGCAAAGTCCGGATCGATCTCGAGCGACTTTTCCATGACGCGGAAACCGTCTTCGAATGGGATGCTTAGCGATCCCCACATCTCTTCAGAGACGTCGCGGAAAGATCGCTCGCCAGACTTGATCTGCTCGTCGAGGCGCTGGCGGTGCTCAGAACCGCAACCGAAGTTGTCGAAGAGGACATGACCCGTATCTTGCATGAAGATGGTGCCATCAAAGTCTTTTTTTATAAACCCTGAGGTCAGATACACCCTCAAACATGATAAAATAGGTGATTGTGTAGTGCTATACTTACCGGAAAAGCAGATGATCTTGCGCTGAGCGTTCGCCATGATTTGGTAATGTAGTAGAGGATATTGGAACTCCGTAGCAACTCCAAATCAACCTCCTAAAGGCTTCTGCGGCAATCTATAAGTCTCCCTTTCCAATTCTTCTTTCCGATTCCTTTTTCGGTCCATCTGGACCATGACGTAGTGGTCTAAAAAAACTGCCAAAGTGGATCGATTCGATCGTGTGGGCCTGGCAGGAACCGGTTCTTATCAGTCCTTGCCACCACTACGAGAACACAGCCAAACGTGGCCCTGGTGAAGACCTCGATTCGCCATGGCTGAGGTAAGGCAGTCTCCAGCATATGGCGACAATGGGTTATTTCATAGCCACTCTTACTCCGTAGGCACCGCATACCCAAGCTGAGTCATCGTGACCCGGTGCTCTGGTCAGTGACTTCACTATGCCAAGAAGCTGAACGGACAGCACAAATCCTGGTTTTGAACGGTTGTAAACGATGATTACTTGCATGGCTCATTAGTTCAGTGGGGCACCGAATCACGGATGACCGTCGTGGATGGAAATCGAAGCATCGCTGTCTTTCCAGTCTTTGCCAGAATAAAATCCATGTTGGAGTATGGAGAAAAAAAAAAAATAGGGACTGTCAGGCAATTTTTGCGCAAATTCCCTACGACAGTCCTGACATAATGCGGTGGAACAGGTACCTACCACCTAGGCAGGGTTTCCAAAGAAAAAAGGAAGGAATTTTTCCCGAGGGGAGAACAATGGTGCCCGTGTGTCCGTATTGATTGGAGAATCGTCACGATATGACGGCGGGTGCGTCTTGAAGCCTAAATGCCTTGGATACAGGGCAGTGTTGAGTCAATCAAGTCCTATGCTCATCAATTTGTTGATTTATCGACGAAATAGGCTTGAAAAGAGGTTTCATTATGTATGCTCTTCTTCGATTTCAGCAGGGAAGCCCCTGGCCATTAGTAGAGGTACTTGGTATCTGCTTTGTGCTCTCAAGGCTCGCTAGACCTGCCAAGTAAGCGATCGACCTGGTTAAAAGTCGGTATACAGTGCACTGGCTTATGTGGTAATGGAAACGGATACTTCATGTCTCCTAGGAACGAGGGGAACGTTGCTTCGGTACCTAACATAGGTAGTTGTACGGAGGGACTCAGGGAGTGTTAGAAACCCCGTGACTAAAGCGGTCCCGTACGGCAGAATGATCCCTCTTCGTCTCGGTGGCCTCCCAGTCTTTCTCTAACCCGACATTAATAATGGGCTTGATCGCAGCCCTCCTGCCAACGAAATGAAAGGCTGCTCTGATCGGCTTCTTTCCCCTCTCCTGCTGGCGTCCCTCTTCGCCCCGCACAATGGTCTTGGCTCCTTTTCTGTAGGCTGCTGTGCCGTGCCTCGGGCATCGCACATACTATTCTCCACAGCGCCAGCCAGCACAGATCCATTTTAGTCTTTTTTTACCCCCCTACACCGCCCCCAAACGCCGCGACGTACTCCGTAAACAGGCTCGCTCGCTGTTGCTGCTGGTGCTGTCGCCGCCGCTGCTGCCGTTGAAATCGTTAGGAACAGGTTTCCTCTGTGTTTTCAGGCCTTGATTGTTCCCATTGCCCTCGTGGACCATGGTACGGATATCTGGGGATGATGGCCCTCTTGGCACGCTGCGCACATTGTTTCTGGACCACCAGCTCGGTAAGAAAGAACATCTGGTCATATTATTGGTATTATTGCTCTCCGTCCCAATTCTGACTTGTTGGACACCCAGCCATCTCGGCCGCCCTGCTGTTGATCCTGTTCACCACGCACATATTTCTTCCCGATGTCCGCCAAACCACTCGCACCTTCTTCGAGCTGTCTTACCATGACCCCGTCACCGATACATACACCCAAGGCTGGGATGACCTGCCGTATGTGGCATTCTGGGTCGTGGTATTTGTCGGTATTCGAATCCTTCTGATGGACTACCTGCTGAAGCCACTGGCGCTCCTGGGAGGGATTCACAAGAAGAAGGCGATAATCCGGTTCCAAGAGCAGGCATTTATTTTAATTTACCCCATCATTTTCTGGTCCCTTGGAATGGTAAGGAAATTAAATCCACTATGGTCGAGGGGAACAGCCTCCTCTTGCAGACATACCAGCTGACCAAAGCCTTTTTAGTATATCATGTATAATTCAAAATACTGGCTGAACCTGCGGGAGCTGTGGACCAATTTCCCCAATCGCTCGATGAGCAGCACACTGAAATGGTATTATCTTGTCCAGCTGGCCTACTGGATTCAACAGATAATCGTCGTCAATATCGAGGAGAAGCGCAAAGACTATGCTCAGATGTTTACCCACCACATCATCACGAGCGCTTTAGTTATTATGAGCTATGCATATTACCAGACGAAAGTTGGTAACGTCATTTTGTGCATCATGGACATCATTGATATTCTATTACCGGTAAATTTTTCTCCCCCCACCCCCAGCGCGGGCGCGCATGTATAAGCCCATGGCCACAGCTAAGTGATATACAGGCTGCAAAACTTTTGCGTTATCTCGGATATCAAACTGCATGTGATATTGCTTTTGGTGTTTTCATGGTCACTTGGTTCTTCTCCCGGCATATTCTCTTTCCCATGGTTTGCTGGTCAATCTATGCACATGTTCCCTCTACTATGCCGTACGGGTGCTATGATTCCGTTTCTGGAGCCCAGGTTTCCACGCCTCTCAACTCGCTTTCGGCATCTTCGCCCGATGTTCCAGCAGAATGGACCAATGCGATCCTGCCGAATATCATGCAATCCTTCCTTGACCCGGGGGGTGTTGTCTGTTTCAACCCTCGCATCCGGTTCGCCTTCCTGGGACTTCTCCTCTCCCTTGAAGCAATTATGCTGCTCTGGTTTGTCACGATTGCCAACATCGCCTGGAAGGTGATCCGGGGTAATTCAGCGGACGACTCGAGAAGCGACGACGAGGAGTCAGACGAAGAGGAGGATGTTGAGACGGATTCGGCAGAGAAGGTTCAAAAAGATAGATGTGCGTCGACAGGGACTTCCATTCCGTCGATTGGGATCCCACTTGAGGAAGAAGTGGGCGTGGAAGACCTGCATCTGGACAGAAGGCGAGGTGCACGGGTGCACGTTAGGCGAAGTGCTGCTGCTGCTGCCAATGGAAGAGGCGCAGCCACGAGAACGACCCGTGATCGAAAGGAGCTGCTGGGCAGGATTGGATGCGACGGCCCCTCATGAGCTCTGGATGCTGCATTACCTGCTTTTTTTTTTGTTTTGTTTTCTCCATCCCCTCCCAAATGAATATTGTATCCGCCGACCAGAATTGCCTGGGTGCTCATGTCCGGAGCTGTCTCTTTTCTCTCATTGCTGCACCTTGCATGCTGTACAGTACCGGTCTCAGCTCCGTCTTCGAGCCAGGGGGCTGCTGGACAGCCCGAATGCCTGTCCTATAATGCAAGGAGGAACGAAGGAATTTTGATAACGTCCAAAAAAGCTCCTCTTTTTCCTCTCATCTTCTTTTTAAAAGTATGCACTAAAAAATGCCTTGAGCAGGGCAGTAGCGAATCTTTAAATTACCAATCCATGCCCATCACATTATGTAGAGTATGGCCTTGTCACAGCGACTTGCTGATTAACAATCAGGAAATCAGCTAGAAACAGATCGTCTGATCACACTGGGAGAGTGATTGAACATCGTTCAAACCTGAAGACCTGGCTGCAATCGCAAAAGACGAAGCACCTCAAAAGGGCCCTTTTAGTTGAACGTGAATGTTACCAACCCCCTGTTGACTGACTTGCCCTCAGCTTCGAACACCGAGCAAATGCTACCATCAACTGCTCCGAGAATGCGAGGCAGAAAAAAGGAGAGAGAAAAGAAAATGGCGTGGACTTGGAACAGTGAGCAATGATCACGAGACTGTATCAGGTGACCCTCGGCTTAAAGCGAGAGCACGCAGAAAACTTGTCCATATTCCGTCCTTCTTCGTTGAGACTACACAAGGAAAGAAGGATTACCTTTTGTCACTGACTGCTTAACGGAGACAGGTTTCTTCATGGCTGCCGTATTAACAACCAGCCAGCCCGTCTGGATCTAGGTTGGTATTTCATTGAAGGGTTTAAAAGGGTAGGAGACTCCCTTCTCTCAACGCATCGTATCCCCATCAGTTTCATCATAAAAAACAAGCTGACGACTCCTAGACTCGTTTGAGATATTCAAGAGATCCTCGGCCTGCTCCCCGATAATGAAATACCGGCTGACGTTGATTCCCCGTCGGAAGTTTACTCTCTCAATCGCCGGAGCTGATGCAATATACAGCACCGTACATAAGGTATAAACCAGGACAGTAAATTGGCAGACGCTAGACGGGAAACATTATTGCTGACTTGACGACCTTTAGTGATTTCCCCCAAGTTAGGGCTTTCCCGCATAATTTGTTCCAACCTCCAAACGATGATGCAATCGTCTGCGAGCCTGATCCTTCAATTAATGAGGTAGCACGAAACCCAGCCATTGGCTCATTAATGGAGATATCTGTGCAAGAGACGTCATGGGATCATTGGCTATGCGAATGCCGAGCCTATTTTTGAAGCCGAGGTGGAGACAGTAAGCAGTAAGCAGTAAACACTACTACTCCGTAATGCTCTGGCTAACTAGTTCGTTGGTACTAGACAGATAGTCATTGAAACTTGTGGATCCTTCTTACATAAAGCAGTTCTCTATTCAATTGATTCACTTGTGGAAAGGTAGCACTGCTTCTCACGATGGACGTCGAGAATTCTCAGCACCTGGCTGCTGCTGTACAGAAGATAAGAGAAGGGTTCATGAAAACAACCTAGACTATCTCCATATATGACCAGCAAGCTGCAACCAGCTGAGATATCACATTCAAAGGCCCAGTACGGTTCAGCAAGTTCATTGTGCCAGAGCTAATAACAGAGGATAATATCTGATATTTGCTCCTGAACCTGATCGACAGAGCAAATGAAAAGAATATTAGCTATGACTGACCAGATACAGAACCACTGCACCTCGAATGGACCGGCTTTCGTCTCGAAGCTAGCAACAACACTCCTGAGTCCTTTCTATTAGCGGAAGACAAATTCCAGAGGCTGACAAGAATGGGGGCGCTCGCTCAATCGACGGGAGCCAAAGTGCTGATGGTCCGTAAGCGTCTGGCACCCCAGCGCCCCTTTCCCGCCGCTTTGCTTGATGCGTTCCAAGCCTATCTGGCGCTGCTGCCTTCGCCTCCTGGGTCCCTGCACAAGTCCGTACTGCCCTCGTCGATTGTCGTGGCGGACGACGGTGCCGGTACCTGCCTCGCCATGGGTCTCCTGCAGGTGCTTCTCCAGCTTCAACGCTGCAAGACCGTGCAGCCGGCAATTCCAGCCGGAGTGACCCTGCTGAGCCCCACTTCTGATCCCACCGATTTGTCCCTCTCTTTTGAGCGCAACCAAGCACAAGGACGTTTTCCCAGTGTCGTTCGAGAAAGTACGGCACCTCGAGCCGGTGATCCCCCCCTGTGCGATCTAGCCCACGCGTCCGCCGCGCGCCAACGTCTACAGCGAAGCAGGCATGTTGGCACGCCCGCTCGCATCCCCTGTAGCAGCGGAGGACTGAACCAGATCCTGGCCTTAATGGATTGCATCGGGGGGAGAGCAGATTTGTCGAGACTAGTCGCGCAGCTTGCCCACTCGCAGGGTGATGAGAAGCTCCCACATACTTTCTTCTGGTTTTTCCGTCATGCACCGCAGACAAAGCGGATTCTGGCCGGTTGGGCGCAGGCCATTCTGGCCTTCGGTAGAAGTGAAACGCCATCCATCCATACCCGCGGCTTGATCATTGAGCCCATGGATATCGAAAACCCTGGTGCCCTATACATTGGCCGAGGCGAGGGAGATGACGTGGGAGAAGACTTTTGCATACAAGATCCCCCGCTCCCATTGGGATCTTCAATCATCGTTGTGATGCATACGGTGATAGCCTTTATATAAGCATCTCATGGACAGTATACTACGTTTTGCTTGGTATAAGTCAGATAACATGTCGAGAATTCACATTCTTTTCTATAAACAGGACAGTCTAGGATATCCACTTATTCTAGGCACTTCAACAAGTCTAGAGAGAACCGGAGTGGGTAGTCTGCAAGTGGACATCCTTATGGACAAGCTATACGGAGTATATGGAACGCTCGACTGCGGGAGCAACCTAAAGGCGTCTGGAGCACCGTACGAGGGCCTCACCAGACAGACGTCTTTATCAGCCGAGTACTACAGAGGCGAATAAAAAGTGTATGGGTGCAAGACTTGGGGCATGTGTCTTCCGGGGTCTACGTGATTGGGACGTCGGTCAAAGCCTGGCAGAGATTCGGCCGAACTTGTGTTTGATAGCGAGGAAGCAACCGTATAGGAGGTGCATTTTCATTCAAGACACGATTCGCTTGATCAAACACTATCCTTGAACGAGGCGATTCTCATGCCTCGAAATTTGGCGATTTTGCGACCAGAAAGCGAGCGGCAAACGATACTCCGTACAGTCAGGGCCTCTAAGATTGACTCATGCCTAAGCCGAGGCGGCTGTTGCCCTAGAACTCAACTCCTTCTCGACTAACGGCTTTGCAGACGTCGGGAGTCAGTCAACGAGTCAGCGATGTATTCGAGGTATGCTAAGAGGCATTTTTGTCAATCTTGGGCGATGGATCAAAGCTTCTGCCAACGGCATTGCAAAGTGGATCCACAGTCTAGATGCCAGTCCCCACACTGGCATCAAAGAGATGCGAGTGCGAAAATCCCTGTTTTTTTTTTCTCCGTTTGACAGTTCGGCCCTAGCCTCGAGATCAATCGGACAAAACCTCAATCGTCACGCCTTGTTGTGTGACAGGCCAATTCCAAATATTTAACCTGTTTCTCATGCATTGCACTCCAGTCGGCTAAAAATGCCAGTTGAGTCAGGATAGACAAGTTCCTCCGCACAAAGCGAAATCAAGTACTCCGTAATGACAGGCCCTTGGGGGGGGGGGACTTCGTATCGTGTGCTAAATCGGGTACCTCCTGAACTCGAGCTGCCGCACTGGATACGTCCAAAAACGGGTCACCGCGAACAGGGGGTCCCGAATACAAAGAAATATCTCTTTCCCTGTTATCATGAAGTAGACAACAGCGTAGTGGAATAAAATACCACATCATAAGTATGTAGTATACAGATACACTCCAACTCCATACTCGAAGATCCAAGATCTGTCAGATCTGATCTGTCGGCCCCGGTCCGTGCGCCCCGCCACGATGCTAGCGCAGGTTGCTAGCCAATAGAATGGGTTTTGGCGTGTACCTGCCGATCTTGAAGGTTTAGTAAATTGGTAGGTATTACTTGTTACTGCTTAGGTAGGTAGTTAACTATACATACATACTCCGTACTACATACTACATAGTAAGAGAAATATAACTAAATCATACAGAGTATGTCAGATGAATGGTAGTGTTTACTGATTACTCACCACCATCCCCTCGTACACCACCGACCTCTCACTACTCCCCTCACTACTCCTGTCCAGCGGTTTGGTCTGCACCTGCACGACATGTTGGACGGTGATCCCCCCCATCTCGACGGCCGCGAGATTCACATCGTCGATGTTGTTGCCGAGGACATTACTTCGCGCTGTGATCTGCGTGGTGACGGCTGCCCCGCTTTCGTTGCGACGGCCCTTGTCCGTGCCTGATAGAGAGGGGGGGCGAGGATCTCGAGTGACCCAGTGGATCATCAGGACACAAAAGAGGACTAACCGTTAGTATATATATATATTATAGTGGATAAGATAAGGATAGAGGCGAAGCACGTACTGTCTGCATTACAGCACATAAGACAGATCCAGGCATGCTCCCCCTTGAGAACCATCAGAACAGAAAGATTCCTAGTAGGATTAGTAGAGATCAGAACAGATACTGGGTAGGAAAAGACATACACGATACTCGAGGTTAGGGTGCACAGACTGCCGAGGAAAGATCGCAGAGCAACGGATTTCAATCCGGCGTTCTGGTTCTGGTACGAATATAGTTCTATAGGAGTTAGTCTGTACCTGGTGTCAACGAGTTGATGATTATGTCAAGGAAACTTACTTCGTAGGGGAATCACGAATAGAAGAGTCAGATTACACTGAAATTAGCCACGTTCAAGAAGAGGGAGAAGACGAAGTACATTAACAACTGCATCGAATATGATTAATGGAAGCATGACTTTGGTCTGCATGCCGATAACGCATGTTCCGTGTCTGATGTAGGAGATGCGATATACGAAGTTCAGAATGACGAGGACACAATAGGGAGCTAGAGCAGTTGACAATTAGCAGTGATCCTTATATATATATATAATCTACTTGCCCAGCATTCCGAAGCAGTTGAGAAGGTATAGTTTCGACTTGAGACGGGGGGTCCGAACGCTGCGAACGAGATACTATGCAATATTAGACAAAGAACACTGTACGATCATTTAGATACGCACCACTTTTTCCACGAGGAAGTAGTAAATGAGCTGTATTCATTAGAACATGCAAACTGAAAGAGTAGTGATGACAGATGACATACCACCTGTTGCTGTTAGTATGGTACGGAGTATCAAGCATAGTAGACTAAAGGGAGGGAATACCTTGGTCGACATATAACACACCAGACAGACTAGAATCGCCGCGGAACAGACGCCCTCCGAATCGAGACCGAAGCCATGTTCCAAGACGCTGGTCGTGATGATGAAGAGAATGGAGTCGATGTAGATGGCAAATACCACTAATAATTATTGCCAAAGATCAGCTTGCTTGGATATTTGCTCGACGGTCGGACCGATTTGCTTACACCATCGCATCAGAGGCATCTTAGACCAGTGTTCTATATTCCGAAGACGGTCGGCTGGATCGTATGGTTAGATTTGAATCATGGATGAAATAATCATGGATGGGAGATGAGAGATGCGCATACTCAAGCATAATGCTAATACAACCACAGTGAGCATTGAAAGGAAGGTGGACAGGACGGAGCCTGCAACAGGGACGGCCATGGTAGCGTCAACAGGATATAGACAGAATAGAAGAATACAATCGATCCAAAGCAGTAGAGAAGAGCCAAGTATATGTATCCAGACCCTCTTCGGCAGTGAAATCGATACGTCAGATCGGCAAAAGTGACCCTGTCGGCCACTATCGAATGCATCGTATCGGAATCGGGGCTGTCATATAGTTAGTTTAGCTGATAGTTAAGTTACCAGACAGGGGTTGCGAGTATAACTATGGAATAATTCAAGTTTCATATACCATTACAGAGTAACGAGTCAGATAGCACCGACTCAAGTGATTTATTGAGATCGCTGGTAAAACACAACCAGAACAGCAGCGAGCCTGCAAAGTCGGTAAACAACGGTACGGAGTACTCTTGTAGAATATGGAAGCTGACGCAGTAGTGGAGGCGAAGATGGATTTCGCAGGATATTGTGAATAGATACCGACTGCCAGTCATGAAGGACGACGACGAGGAGATCACCGTGGATTCCAGCCACCTTTCGTGTGGCAGCAGATCCCCCCGTGGACGCGCAAATATTCGGCTTCCCTTTCTTCCTCACTTTCCAGACGCAGCCTCGAGCAACGACAGGCGCATTTCCGCAGGTCAAACCACGCAAGAAGGGCAGCTCAGGTAAGCAGCAAACCATCCCAGCCAGTCTAGCCAGGCGCTTGAGCTGAACTGACGGTCCATCGCAGTAGGAGCAATCCGAGGAAACGTCCTAGAATCTGGGAAGACAGCGGTTATCGGATGTCGTACGTCTCTGCTCGAGTCACTGTGACGGTAGAATTATTAAAAGCATGTCTTATTCTTCTCCGGAGTAAGTAGTCTAGAATAACAATAATTAGTTGCGTATAGGAAACCAGTCAGTCGTGTTAAAATGACCTGAAACCACACAGTCATCGTATCGTGTCCAGGAGTCTTTTAGGTAGCCACATTACAGTCTCTCTGCACACACCCGGCTTCGTTCATTCTAGAGATTTTATCGGTCTATCCTTTCCTCCCATCAACAGTTTAGTACTTTATCTAATCCTCTCGTTCATTTCCATCGCCCTTGAGGGTATACTGCCTACGCTGGCTGACTGATAAGCAGTGCGGTCGTACTCACTCTCACCCTCCCTTACCACCCCTGAGTGTCTATCAACGAGATCAATGGATAGAGACCAATGATACCAGGCCGTGTAAATACTTGATATTGAGATTGAGACACGAGTCGATGATATAATGATATTATATATACTAGTCATAGATGAACTAGATGCCGTTCTATTGTCTGTGAACCCGGAGATAGGAAGATCAAGGAGAGGCAGACTGTATCTTCAAGTCTCACAAATAATGTGTGTCTAATTTAACAGCTGATACTGCTTAATCCTTAAAATCTAGAGTTAAGCAATAAATAATATATATAGATATATGTATACTATATTACTGTCAACTGTTACTGTGATTATGCCGATCGCATCCTTGCCTATCTCATTCCCCGCATTGCATTCCGATTCTTCCCCAGATTACAGCTGGTAGATTACGCAGTAGAGAATTATACGATAGTTTTATATTGACACTTGAATATCTAGTATAGATTAGTTATTATTATTTTATTTATCTTGTTGACAGAAGTATTGAGGCAATAAGTGAAGTGGCCGAGTATGGGCCCATAGTTATTGTCTTCCACATGCACATAATAGCCAGTATTAACCAGTAAATGTTACATAACTGCTACATAATAGCCAGTAATGCCTAGGCAATAATTACATTTGCTAGGCATTTTAGGTATTTATATAGCCCCCAAACCCGGCTTTTATGTTCGGCGGGATCGACTGAGCAGCAACTATTCACAGTCAGACGAGGTAAACCTACCCAGGTGGTAGTTTAGTTGCACTACCAAATAAATACTTCTTCCTTCAATGGACTCTCCCGTGATTATCGTCGGCGGTGGTCTGGCCGGTCTGGTGGCCGCCCGAGAACTGTCTCGCCGCAATGTGGCCTCGGTGATTGTCGACCAGGAGAACGAGGCGAACCTGGGCGGGCAGGCCTTCTGGTCGCTGGGCGGCCTGTTCTGCGTCGACTCGACGAACCAGCGCCGACTGGGAGTCAAGGACAGCCGGGAGCTGGCGCTGCAGGACTGGCTGAGCACGGCACGCTTCGATCGCGAGGAGGAGGACTACTGGCCTCGCCGGTGGGCGGAGGCGTTTGTGGATTTCGCGACCGACGAGCTGGAGGCGTACGTCAAGGAAGCCGGACTCGCCTTTGCGACGCTGGGTTGGGCCGAGCGTGGCAGCGGCAACGCAGGGGGCCATGGCAACTCGGTGCCTCGCTTCCATCTGACATGGGGCACGGGTCCGGCGGTCGTCGACGCGTTTGAGAAACCCGTGCGGGCCGCGGCGGCCAAGGGGCTCGTCGAGTTTCGCTTCCGCCACCGCGTCGACGAGCTGGTGGTGGACGAGCAGACGGGCGCCGCTGTGGGCGTGCGTGGCCATGTCCTCGAGGCGTCGACGGACTCGCCGCGCGGGGTGGCCACCAGCCGCAAGGTGGTGGACGCGTTCGAGATCCGCGGCAGCCATGTGCTGCTCGCGACGGGCGGCATCGGCGGCAACGTCGAGCTGGTCAAGAAGCACTGGCCGGTCGACCGGCTGGGGGCGTACGTGCCGCAGTCGTTTGTCGTCGGGGTGCCCGCCCACGTCGACGGGCGGATGCTGGGGATCGCCCAGCAGGCGGGCGCGAATGTCATCAACAGCGACCGTATGTGGCACTACACCGAGGGACTGCAGAACTGGAACTCCATCTGGCCCGACCACGGCATCCGCGTGCTCTCGGGCCCGTCGTCGCTGTGGCTCGACGCCCAGGGGAACCGCCTGCCTGCCTTTCTCTTCCCGGGCACCGACACGCTGGCTACGCTGGAGCACATCTGCCGTACGGGCTACGACTACACCTGGTTCATCTGCACCAAGACCATTGTGGCGAGCGAGTTCTCCCTGTCGGGCTCCGAACAGAACCCGGATCTCACCGGCAAGAACTTCCTCAGTCTGCTCTGGCAGCGTGTCTTCAGCTCCGCCGGCCCGCAGCCCGTCCAGGCCTTTCTCGACCACGGACCGGATTTTGTCGTCGAGGCCTCGCTCGAGGACCTGGTCGCGGGCATGAATCGCCTCGCCAAAGAACGCGGTGGGCCCCAGCTGAGCGTCGACGAGGTCGAGCACACCATCCGCCTGCGCGACGCCCAGCTCGACAACGCCTACACCAAAGACGCCCAGCTGATGTTGATCCGCAACGCCCGTGCCTTCTGGCCCGAACGACTCACCCGCATCGCCAAACCGCACAAGCTGCTCGACCCGCGCCACGGCCCTCTCATCGCCGTCCGTATGAACCTGCTCACCCGCAAGACCCTCGGCGGCCTCCAGACCAACCTCGACGCAAACGTCCTCCGTCCGGACGGCCAGCCCTTCCCCAACCTCTATGCCGCGGGCGAGGTGGCGGGCTTTGGAGGCGGCGGTGTCCATGGGTACAGTGCTCTCGAGGGGACCTTTTTGGGCGGCTGTATCTTTACGGGAAGAACGGCAGGCATCAAGATTGCCGAAAGCAAGGCTTAGTAGTATACAGTATAGTACCTCACTAGATCATCTCATATACAACCTTCGGACACTCCAAAGGCAATAGATGCTTGACTCCCTCTACCACACGCAGAGATACCTTCACCCCGTTTTCCTGTAGGAACCGAGCAACACCACTCTCCACCCGTTCCCTGGGTTCGACAAGATCCGAGCCTCCCACAAGTATCTTTGCTGTGATCTGCTTCTTCGCTTGCAAGCTGGACAACGCCCGTGCAACAGAGTCGGTGATATCCTCCTGCATTCCGTACGAGGGCCACGCTTTCTTCGCCCACTCATGGCCCGACAAACTATCCCGAACGATCATCTCGACATCCGCAGCCGAGAGATTCTCCATGTTCGCGAGGATATGCCGGATATTCCACACGACGGATTCCTCGGTCGCGTATGCCTTCTGCTGTTGTTCTTGGATTTCACCCGGTAGTTTCAGCGGGGTAGGTGGTGCAGGCGCAACGAGGACGAGGGAGTGCAGTTTCCCTCGTATGCGATCTGACAAGGCTGGTATCGTGGCGAGAGCTACTTTGCCCCCCATCGAATGTCCGACTAGAATGAATCCATTGTCGAGGGAGGTCTGTCTTTCGTCCGCCATCTTCTCGAGAGTGCCCGCCACATCATCCGCCATGATGGAAATAGAATAGGCGGTTGGATCGTCTGGACAGAAAGACTGGCCCCAGCCGCGTAGATCGAGGGAGAGGATGGGATATTCCTCTTTCGCCAGAGAGATGACTTTGTGCCATGTTGAAGAGGAGCCGCCCCAGTAATGGAGGAAGACGAGGAGGGGTCTTGTACTTGTATACGACATGAGTGAAGGGAGTAGAGTAGGTAGAGTGAGTAAGAATAAGAATAAGAGTGATTGAGAATAAGAATAAGAATGAGAGTAGAGAGTAGAAGGGTATAAATATTATTCTATGATTCCACATGGTGAGATTCTTCCTCAGGCTATTGATATGATTCCTAAGGCTCCATAATGATTCCAAAGAGATGAACTAATATAATAGAATATGATATAATATAACATAATATAGCTTATTATAATATAGTTTAATATTATACTGTACTAATAATGTAATCTCTAATACCCTGTCTACTATAACTAGTACTGATACCTCAGGCTCTCACTCTTCTACTGGGGACAGTCAGACTACTTGACTTCACTCACTCAACTCACTTAATGGACAGAACAAACCCCCTCCCACCCCCCAGTCGCCGCAGAGATAAACCACAGCTCTCCTGCAATCTATGCAGACGACGAAAGTAAGAGATCCTAGTACTTTCACTGGCTACGGTACATGCTGACTGGGAGACTCAAATGTGACCGCCGACAACCATCGTGCGGGACCTGCGCCCGTCGCGGGCTCTCGCTGTCCTGTCAATACGTGGGATCGAATAATCAGAATACAACTCCTGCTCCTGCTACTAGTCACGACTCGGCATCGTTGAATATCATGCAAGAGCGGATCAGCCAGTTGGAGACGCTGGTGATGTCCTTGGCAGACAAGAGAGCCGCACAGGAGACCAGGGAGAGGTTTGACATCGACAATGCTGACATTAGCCATACCTACGGGCGTCTCAGTCTGGAAAACGAGGAGACGAGTTATGTGGAAGCCTCGCATTGGACGGCAATTCTAGACGGGGTGAGTTCTAGAACAATACATCAACTTGATTATAGTCACTATGCTGACTGTATCAGATTGCAGAGCTGAAAGACCACTTTGATCATCCTGCAGAAAGAAATCTTCCCCTATCTGCTCCGGACAGAGATACCCCCATGCTGCTCTACGGAAAGAATAAACACGCCTCGAGAGAGGAGATCCTAGCAGCTGTCCCGCCAAAGGAAGACTCGGATCGCATGGTGAAGCGATTTGCAGAAGCGACATACCCGGCACGAGGTGTGTGCCACTCCGAAGTGATATATGTTGGGGTTTGACTAAGCAGATAATAACAAGCGTTGATCCATCTTCCGACGTTTATGAAGCAGGTAGGCTTGGCTTGTAGTCTATTACTGACGTCTGCTAACAGGTGGTTTACAGTATGAACGCTTTTGGTTGAATCCATCAGAAACGCCAATCATGTGGATCGGTCTCTTTTTTTCAATTCTCTGTCTAGGAGATATGTACCTCGAGTCTGACGCCAGAGACAACCTCGACGGGCTGTACTCCCCACCCCTGTTCACAAACACCACCAATAAGTCCTTTTTGTACCGCGAGAAGACGGTTCAGTGTCTTGTCCTGGGAAAGTACACCAAAGCGGTCCCCTTTGTCATTGAAACGCTGGGCATCTACCTGCTCGGAGAGTCGATCCAATGCGAGGACACCGAGGTCGGCTTCTGGGTTCTCGTCGGCGTCATTGTCCGCCTGGCCCAGCGCCAGGGCTATCACCGCGACGCGTCTCGGTTCTTCCCGCGCATCTCGCCCTTCCATGCAGAGATGCGACGGAGACTCTGGGCGATCGTTTCCCAGCTGGACACGACCATCTCGGCGCAGTGTGGTCTGCCCCGGATGCTTCGTGAGGGTCAATCGGACACGGCCGAGCCGCATAATCTTCTAGACGAGGATCTCGACGAGTTTATGACCGAGCTGCCACCCTCGAGGCCGGATACGATGCCCACGCTGATCGGTGCAATCGTCGCAAAGTGTCGCCTGGTCGCGGCCTTTGGCAAGATCGCGGATCTTAACCTGACCACCACCGACTCAGTGCCATACGCCAAGATCCAAGAGCTCGATACCCTCCTCAACGAGACCTACCGGAACATCCCAGACTGGCTACAGGTCCTTCCGATGACCGCATCGCCCACCGACTCGCCCTTGATGATCATCAGCAGCATCTTCATGACTCTGAATTTCCACAAGGCGCAATGTGCCCTGCACCGGCGATATCTGCGATGCACAAGCCCGGACAGCGAACTGCACGCCTACTCGCGAACCACATGCATCGACGCCGCGCTCACTATCCTGCAGTGCCAGCAGACTCTCGACCGCGAGCTCCGGCCGGGTGGCTATTTATCAACTGTGAAGATGCCTATTTCGTCCGCATTACAGACCGAGTTTCTCCACGCAGCCACGATCCTATGTCTCGTTCTGGATGACCACTTGAACCGGAACGGCCAGGGCGACGATGATACACAAGAACTCGAGCTGATGAACCGTATTGTTCAAGCGTTGGATCGCTCGTACTCCTTCTGGGTCTTATCGAAGCAATCTTCACGCGAGGCCCGAAAGGCTGCCGAAGCATTACGGATTGTTCTCACCAAGGCGGGACGGATGAGGTTTGCTGACGATACTGCTGGGGGGTTGATTGATGACGCCGTTATTCCCGACTTCCCTGATCTTTCTACAGCGGTACGTCCAACATACACTCTTACTTCTGTGAGCAAGCTAACCGATTGAAGCCGTGGGATTTCCCATACTCTGGCCCTGATATCAACGATCTCATCCAGATGGATCTGTATAGTGTAACTCCGTCAGCGCTCTTGACTGGTTCGCCTTAACTCCGCCATCGGATTTATCAGCGGAGCATCGGAGGGTCGTCATCTATAACTATAGTTCAAGAATTTGCATATTCCAGCCTTCTCAGAAAGGAATTAACTACTTAATTCTTGCATCAATCAAAATACACAATATGTCTCACACTGCAGCCATGGTGTCTTCCGCGGGCATCCCGTTGAGCGTTGTCTCCCGCGCCACACCCACCCCAGGACCAAACGAGGTCCTCGTGGCAGTCAAGGCCATCGCCTTCAACCCCGTGGACATCGCCCAGCGCGACATGGGCCTCTTCATTGAATCATACCCGGCCGTCGTGGGGTGCGATGTCGCGGGTGTCATCGAGGCGAGAGGCGCGGACGTGACGGACAGCGCATACCAGCCCGGTACGCGAGTGACAGCCTTAGCCTCCTCGTTCTACATGCAAGGAAACCCAGACTACGGTGCGATGCAGGAGAAAGTGGTCGTGCCCATCGCGGCCGTGACGCCTCTTCCGGACACGCTCGGGTTCCGCGAGGCATGTATCCTGCCGCTGTCCGTCTTCGTCTCGTGGACCGGGTGGACCGTCCTAGACATCCCACACGAGCGGAACGTCGCAAACTCCTCCTCTGTGTCTAAAACCCCGGGAGTGATTGTCTGGGGCGCGGGGAGCAGCATGGGCACCTCAGCAGTGCAAACAGCCCGCTGGCTAGGATTCACCGTGTACGCGACCGCCAGCCCGAAACACTCCACATACCTGCATGGGCTTGGGGTGTCGCGCGTGTTCGACTACAAATCCCCCGTCTCGGTCCTCAAGACGGAGATCAGCCAAGCCATGGAGCAAGATAACCTCTCCATCAACAAGGTCTTCCTTGCAGCGGGGCAGGTCGCACCCGCCATCGAGATCCTACGCGCCATCAAACCCGACTCGGAAAGAGGGATCATCGCCTCCGCCCCCCTCGTCCCCGCCGATCTTCCTCCGCTAGGTGACGACCTCGAGGTCAACTTCATCCTGCCCCCGTCTGACCCGGTGGCCAGGGAACAACTGGCAGGTTGGATCTTCAATTCCTGGCTTCCGGGCCACCTCGCTTCGGGGGAGTTTGTCCCCGGGCCGGCTGTTAGGGTTGTGGGATGTGGACTTGAGGCGGCGAATACGGCCTTGAATGAGTTGAGGGGTGGCGTTAGTGGGGAGAAGCTGGTTATTGATATAAGTGGTGATGTATAATCATCATCAATACTGAGCATCTACCTTAGGAATCTTGTCATTGTGAAAGTACGTATAAGTAGATGTATGAGTGCCATTTCTAGTTGAAATAGATATCGAACAATAGAGACTAGTTAATGATACTTATACTTGGTATTGACTGCTAGGGTTAAGGTGTCGCTGCCTGTACGGAATATTACTAGTCAAGGTAGATACACGGTTCCTTTCTAGCAGCTTCACTCTATCAGCGCTGGTCTGCGAGGGATGTTCTGAATTCGGAAATCATCAATTCAAGGGCTATTTATTATACATGCAGTGTCCGGCTTCCGCCTATCGTACGATTAAAAATAAAGAAAAATATTTGCCTGATAGTGATCTATCGGAAATAGCCATACTCTGTGAGGCAGGAAGAGGACATGATTTTCAGACGCCGATAATAAGCTATGCAGAGACGCCCTATACTGCAGATAGGGCTTCGAGGGAGGTCTGCTGCCTGGGTTTATGGGGCAGGAAATCTGGATGAGGCTGTTCGGGATCTTGTTTCCAGGCTTGTCGTAAGGGTGTAGGGATTCAAAGATAATGCGGTATCAAAGGGTATAGGAGCGGATAGAAGGGGTGGTAGAAGTGCTGTCAGGAGCTTCAAGGAGCCAGCAAGTGGATTTACGAGAACTTGCGCGTGATCTTGGCGATGACTAGGTAAAGTCAGCACATGAAGAGAGAGAAAAAAAACAGAAACACTGAGTTCATACCGTGCAGTCCAACGACAGAGAAGATGAATCCCAAGCTGAGGACCAGCACAACGACCGGGTCAACCCGCAGGCCGGGGCTCTCGTCAGTGTACAGCTTGAGCATGGTGCCCGAGGAGCCACCGGCGCCAGCGGCGCGGGTCGAGCTCGGGCGAACATTGCGCAGCGACTCCTTGTGGTCCGCCGTGGCACGGCGACGCATGGCCGCGCGGGGGCCACCAGGAGGAGTGGGCGAGGAAGGGCGACCGGCACCGGACGCGGCGGCGACGGGGCCAGAGGGAGACTTGGAGTCAGGGCCAGACTCGGCACCAGATGTCAGCGGGGAGGCAGGACGAGGGGAAGCCTAGAGAAGAGTATTAGTTGGAATTCATTCAGAGAAAGAAAGCGGTCTTGATTTCTCACCATTGCAAGGGTATTAGGAAAGAAAGTGGCTTAGAGAAAATAGAAAAAAAAGGGGGGGGAAGTGGGAAATAATTCGGAATGAACGTGTATGTGATTATAAGAAATCAATTGCAGAACCGAGACCCGTTGCACAGAGATAACGAAAAGGGGTGGCAGTGAGGTTGGAGAGGCGAGGTCGCGAGTTTGACGTTGAAGAGGCCACGCTCACGGTTTCCACTATGCTTAAGCGGCTAGCCTCCCCCAGTCCCGTGACTTGATCCGATCCAATTCCAGACTCCAGTGCTCCACTATGACTTTCATCGAGAGGTCAAAATACAGCGTCATTTAATCGATTGAAAAGAAAATAAATAAATGAAAAAAGGAGTATATTCATTAGATTGCTGATTGGTCAACATCAACACGCTCATTGCAGGTACTATAAGACAAGAATCTCTGATTCCTGCCACTCCGTCCCCACACTCTCAGAGCATCCGATTGCTACTCATCGCAAAGGTCCATACACAAATACATGACAAGAATTTACATACTGGTGACATTTCAGGGTGGATGAAGAGTCGGGGAGGCTAAGATAGAAAGGCTCATACATCGAAAAACCATCTTTCCTGAGAGAGATAAATGAATATAGGAAATGCGTTCATGCTTTAGGGCTTGGTTCAAATCAACGGAAAAATAAATAATTCATGGGAAGAGGTATCATGTTGGAGAAGATCCATGTCTCAAAATGTAGCAAGATAAATCAGAAAAAGGGGAAAGTTAGGAGGGTTCCATACGGCGGCTATCGTCATCAGCCTGGAAGTCCAGCTCAGACTCCCGGACTAGGGAGATCGCTTGCCAAAGGGAGAGAAAGAAAGGGAAAATCGGGAATCAAAAGTGAGAAGAAGAAAAGCTTGGGGTATAATTCCTTTTGTACGTCCTTGCCAAAATTTGTACTCTTTCCTACCGTCGTTCATTAATTT